CCAAATGTTATCTAAGGCTGGAATGTCCAGCTTTGTTTATGGTATCAATGTTTCAATCTTACCTATTCTGTAGAAATTTTGAGCAAAGTTAAGTTAATACGTGAGCTTGACCCGCCGATCTTCTAATACGAAACCTAATTGGGGACTGTCCTGACTATTTTGTGCTTCATTGTTTAGCTGCCCTGAGTAACTAAGGAAAATGCTCTGATTTTCTTTCATATGAGCCTTTTCTGGCACTGTTTGTACATATCCCAATGGGTTTGTAACATGTTATCTCTTATTATTATCCATATATCAGTAATTCTTATGGTACTTTGGTCGAAGAATAATGGCATTGCTTTTCTCAACAGTGGCAGCAAATGGATATCGAATACACATTTTGGCAAATGGTTCATCTCTGTACTTCACCAAAAGTAGTGTACGCATTCTGCACTCAGTCCAGCTCTAAATACTTTGCATTAGCTGTTATACTATAGTAATTGTTTTCTGCAGATATTGTCGTAGTAAAACTAGCACCTCTTGCACACTGATGGATTGTTATCATCTAATTTCTCAATGCTAATGTCCCTACTTGCTAAGTTCGAATTCCAGGGCGAGTGATATAACATGATCGGTAAAGGCTTGAAAAACTTCATTGTAAGATTTTACAATCCACACCACCAAGATTACCAAAAACCTATCCATCGACCACCTTATAGCAGGACCTTCTTCTGACCCACTTATGCCTGCACAAACCCTAGCTAGTTTCTTTTGCTAGGGTTGAGGGTGGCAGCTGAGCTTATCGAGGGCCAGAGTGGGCCCTACCCTCCCCAGGTTCTAGAAATTTCCCATGATGTTATGGCGGGTCCATAACATAATTTTAGATCACATATGACACACTATGTTAACTTGGCCCCCCACTGTTTTGGCTCCTAATAAAATCACGCTCAAGCTCCACCACTGCTTGAGGGTTACATCCTCACCTTCATTTCATCATTCAAAGTTGTATAGTTTTAATATGAATGGCTCATTTGTAGTTTTCACTTTGATGTTGATTATATAGTTAGGCACCTGACTTGCTTTTGTCTATTTGTATGCACCATGTTGCGATTATGGAAGACAGCTATCAGCACACCAAATATCACAAGCGTACGTGGTCTACTTCTGTTATTTCCTCAACGTAAACATGTTTGCTGGAATTTAATTGATGGACTTTCATACTATTGTAGTTCTTTATCTGCATTTGATATTATGCAGGTTCCTGATATCTTTATTCTTATTTACAGAAACAAAGAACCAGTGGGCTCGGGATGATCCTGCATTTATTGTCATTCTAATTCTTTTCCTTGTGTTTGCGACATCAGCTTACTGTGCAGCGTGAGTCCTTTATACCCTTCTATTATCTCTGGACTTTGCAAAAAATATAAAAATTCACAGGGAATTATCTTCGTGATTCCCTTCTGTAGTGGGTGCAGGGAATATATCTTGGTGATGGTTTAAATCTATCCTTTTTATTAATAGTCTATTTTATATACTCATAGTTAATAGATTAATGTGTTTCTTTTATTTTCTGTTGTATCAACTTGTTGGCTTGCTTTTCCTTTTTATTCAATGTTTTAACTCTTGTCTTTGTTCTTTAGATTTGGAGAGAGTGCGCCCCATGCTGCTTTAACAATCATCTCGGTTGTGTTTGTCCATTTCTTGTTTGCTGGGCTAGTTTTGGCCACACTTTGCTGGTAAGTCTTCATGCTGTAGACTTGGAACTTGAAGGCAACACTAACATCATGTTTTTGGTATTCTCAGTTGTGTCATTCAGTTTTTCTGTTTTTTTCTTCTGTTTGGGAGGTATTCCTCAACATGCAATGGAAGTCGAAGCATGTTGTCATGAGCTAGTCCTTCCGTTCGAAAATAAGTGATGTGGTTTTAGTCCAAATTGAAACGGAGGGAGTAGTGGCATAAAGTTTGGTTTCATGCTGATAATTGGTTTACTGCTATAACTTCTTATTTTTGAAACGCCTACTTCTTCATCATTTAATCTAGAGGTGGTAGCAGCATTGTACTTCCTCCGTTCATAAATATAAGATGTTCTAACTTTTTTCTGATGTATATAGTTACGTTTTAGTATGTTTGTTCACTCAATTCAGTCCGAATGTAGTTCATATTGAAATATCCAAAACATCTTATATTTGTGAACAGAGGTGAGTAGTTTTTAATCTTCATTTCTTGCATATGTTTACATTTTGCGGCGTAGTGTTCAATCAAATGTAGCACTCGTAGTGCGTAATGACTAAACTATTAAATCTGTTAGAAAATACTCCCTCTGTACATAAATATAAGATGTTTTAGAGACTTGTGTCAAGTCTCTAAAATGTCTTATATTTATGACAAGTCTCTAAAACGTCTTATATTTGACAAGTCCCTAAAACGTCTTATATTTATGTACAGAGGGAGTACTTAGTACACATGCAAATCTGTAAATGGAGAATATATAAACCAACATCTGCTATGCTTCAATGCAGGTTTCTTACCAATTCTTATCTGAGGGAGGAACCTAATAGCCATGTGGTCGAACAACGTGTCGAATGGTAATTGTCCTATCTTGTACTACAAGTGCATTTTCTTTGAGTCGTATTTCCACCATTTGGAGGCGATTTTTTATTTTTTTATCATCACTGCATCAACTCCTGGAACATTTTAAGCTAACAGTCACCTGTATATTTGGTAATAATGAAGAGTAGACATAATAAAGAATAGTTGTTCTATGACACTCACAGACCCATGATAGCATGTTTCTGTAATTTCCATTGAATGTCAACTCCTGTTCAGTTATTCTTGTGTTGACTAGTAACAAAGTTAAGAGATCATAATTGCTTCTTCCAGTACTTTGTTCTTGAGGTTATGATAAGTATCTGTAGTTACGAAAAATAAACATTTGCAGGCTGTATGCGTTTGATGTTCACTGCAACTCGTTCTTCCCTGCATTCGTCATCCTATATGGTAATAATAAAGGAATTATTCTCTCTACCTGAAATTAGTTCTACTAGCATTTATGGTAGTGTATCTGATAATTTCTCTTCTCAGTGCTTCAGTACTTTTTGTCGCCTCTGTTGATCGCACATGGATTCTTGCCTGCCCTATTATCAAACCTCCTGTTCATGGTGGCAATTTCTTATTATCACTATCTGAACTTTCTAGGATATGATGGTAAGTTTATTCTAATCTTTAAATTGACTTTATTGTATGTGTTTTTAAGACTGTCCTAACAAAAGTGAACTTTGGCTGCAGTTCTTCCATTTTTGGACCGAACGACATTTTTCTTGTACCCAATCGGACTTGTCATCATACTATCGCCACTCAGTAAGTGCATTTTATACAGCACCAACTTTTTCCCTCTGAAAAATCATCTTACATATTTCCCTTTGTCTTGTAGTGATACTCATAGGGTTTAATCCAACACGATACTTTCTGAGCTTGTACTTCCGGTAAGAGTGGTAACTAGTAAAAGAAGACTGGTGACAAAACTAATGGCAGATTGGGACATACAGTTTGAAGTAGCATTTTAGATCTCTTGTGCTATCAGGGAAGAGCGAGCCTCAAAAAAGTTCAGATCATATTTGGTGCCTGTGGAAGGCCTTCAGCTAGTGCCTTTTAAATGGCGTCCATTTTGGTGCCAACTTGTTCATATATGTGTTGTTTCCTTTGATTTAAGCCCAAGGACCGAGCGTCCAATTTTATTGTGAAGTACAGTATCATATTAAATTGGCATCAAAAGTGCATGTGATCTTTCCATCATCTTCTTTTACTTGCCACCTTTCCTCTTTATCACCACTAACAATTTTAGAGGTATACGAAGGTCTGGATTGTTCCTTTGCACTAGTGTAAAAAACACTCTTATATTATGGGACGGAGGGAGTACTTGCCTAGTCTTTAATATTTTCCTTACTAGTTAATGTTTTTTAAGCAACGGCCACGCCACTTGTGCCAATGGTTGCCTTCGTACAACCAAGCGGCTTACAGTCGGTCACACCAGCGGGCTTTTTTTGCGTCTGGGAAATTCCGGCTACCAGTAGAGTAACTACTCCCTCTGTTCTTAAATACAGTATAATTTCTGGACGGAGGGAGTATAACTCCTTATATACAGTATAATTTCTGGACGGAGGGAGTATAAGATGTTTTAGCTTTTTTCTGATCTATCATGTAGACGTGTTTTAGTGTGTATGTTCATTCATTTTGATCCGTATTTAGTCCATATTAAAATATCTAAAGCATTCTATGATTAGGAAACATCATTTAATTAGGAACGGAGCAGTATATGTTAGGGCATAAACAATGCTAACCACCAAAATGGACGTGCTATTTGTTCGCGGACTGGTTTGGACTAGTCCGTGCAAATAGATGCGGGAGCCATTATTTGTCCGTGTGCACTGGTTAGACCAGTTCATGAAAATAGATGTGAAAGGCGATCATCCAACCCTATCCGCCAGAGCATCTCAGATCCTTAGGGCAATTTCCAACACCAATCCCTAAAACAGACACACTGTTTGTCCGTCCGTAGACTAGTTCGGGCCAGTTGGCCGACCATTCAACTGCATAGCGATATGAGCAAATTATAGTGCGGTGTTCATAGCACCATATCACAAACAAGAAGAGGCTAATGCTCATATTTTTACATGTGCCCAATCACAAAAGTATCAATCCGTGCATAAAAATATCATTTTTGCCCTACTTAGATAGGATATCCGAGCCTCCGTGCTCACTCTGCCATCGACTCCTCGGCGGATGCCGGGGACTTCCTGCCGAGCCGTTGGGCGGCGTAGAAGTGGGGAGGCTGGTATTGTTTCAGCCAAGACCGCGTGTGGATGGACGATGATGACGGCGGCGCCTCGCGTCCCAGGCCCTGCTTGACCCCTGCACCCCGTCCGCGGCCACGCCCGGCGCTTTTCTTTTGCTGACCGCCTCTTTATACTTTGCCTTCTATTTGAGGTGACGGGCTTGCCGTGTCGCCGAATTGATCTTTCGGACAACGGCCTTCTTTAGTTCTTCTACCTTCGCCGTCTCCGATAGCTTTTCGTACGCATCCATGTGGAGGCGACGACAAAAAAGGGCGGGAATTGAGGGTTGAGAGCGGTGGAATGGTAGCGGAGTGGGTGAAGAAAGGGGGAGGGGGTTTGCTGCATAAATAGTTTGACCTGCTCCAAATGTGCAGGCTCTGCCTCGATTTGGGTAGGCTAGGGGTGTCAGAGTTCTCCGTGGCGGGTGTCCGGACCCCCGCAAAGACCTCTTGGTTTGCGGGGAAACAGACACCCGGACTGGTCCACGGACAAATGTGGGACAACGTTGGATGGTTCATGGCGTCCGGACAGTTCGGTATGGATGGTTGCGGGAGGTTCGGTTGGAGATGCCCAAACCCCCCTATGCAGACAGTTCAAACACCGCCCAGAGCATCTCCAACCAGACCCCTAACCCCCTCCCCCACTCAGTTCGGACATTGCGCGGACAAAAAGAAATCCATATTTATTCTATTAGTTTGACAACCTGTATGTTGGGCGGGTTTGGGGCTGTTCTGCCGTGCGTATCACGTTGGACCCGACATGCAGGACCTACCCCAATTTGACCTCCCTCGTCCTCGACCTGCCCTCTTTCTCTCTATTTTTTCCTCGACCTGCCCTCTTTCTCTCTATTTTTTCCTCGACCTGCCCTCTTTCTCTATTTTTCCTCGACCACACCGTGCCTTCCCCGTCTGCCCCGAACATCGTTACCACCTTGGATGTCGCCTCGGTATGTCCTGCTTCGCCCACCATACAAATCGTCCACCATGTGTTCGAGGAAATATCCAAGCTATTTTTAAAGCCCCCTTTGCACGTTTGTAGGGACACAATTGATTAGTTGGAGGATGAGTTTGTTTACCTGAAGGTTGATGAGTTTATTTACAAGGAGTTCATCGGTTTGTTGTCATCGAACAGTGATGAGGAGAGCGATGAAGAGTTGATGTGAGCGTCCTCAAACAAATGGAGAAGAAGAGGAGCATTTTCTCAACTTCAGGGGTTCGATTCTATATAGGATAGTCATTACATGGGATAGGATAAAGGGCCATTGGGATCTCTATGTCGACTACTTCTAAGCCGAGCTGGTACTTCACGAGGGCTTTTTGTGGCGTCGCTTCTGGATGCACATGCCTTTTTTCTTGCGGATAGTGGGGGGTGTGAAGGACCATGATCCTTACTTCACGCTGATAAAGGATGCATGCCGAGCACCTTCATTCTCCCCTCTTCAGAAATGTACCGACGTTATGAGGATTCTTGCATATGCTCGGTACAACTGAAGATGTCGTTATAGAGATCGTCTAGATGGGAGAGGGCACATGCATTGACACAACGATGAGATTTGCCTATGCCACGGTGAAGGCATTTGGACAGGAGTACTAGATACATCCACATGTTAGGAGTCCGGACACATAAAGGGGAATGGAATAGCAAGAGGTTTTCCCGGTATGATCAATTCAGTCCAGTGCATATGTATCACATCTCCTAATTGGTGCATTGCTCTGTTGCTGTCAAGCCCCAAAACTTTAGTGTTGGTGACATTGTCTACTGACAGCGATCTATTACGGTACTAGGTGGACTGGTCACAATGGGTGGATATGACATTATCCCGTGCCGAGGCCTCTAGGAGTCGGTGGATCTGGGATCAGCAAGGCATGGGGCATGCCCACGGCTTATGCTCGGTGGTGGCATGAAGAGTTCACAAATCTCATGTTTTTAGCAGATATGGATGCAATGGTTGCATTCCTCTGCTTTCTCAGGCGATTGCACATGAGGAGACAGGCGGTGGTGATGGACATGAGGGGCCAACGATTTAGTTGTTTTTCTTCTTTGACTGTCTTCTTTTGTTTTTTGTGCATGGGAATGAGAAATTCTATCCGGTGTCCGGGCTCATCTATTTGCGGTGAATCTAAAATATAAAAAAGCAGAAATATATAAAAAAACGTTTTTGCGTGTGCAAGATCCTTAAATGCGCGATGTTCGTGCAAAATTTCAAGGTGTTGCAACATTTCCAGACACCCAAAATCTATCTTTTTTGCCGCAAGCTCCTCGAATGTCCAAACTTCACCAAGTTTTGCAAGAGCATCGTGTACATGAGCATCTTGCACCACTAAAAGATTCAGATATTTTTGAAGTTTTTACTATTAAAATAATTTTACTGTTTATAGAAAAGCCCGGGTGCAGAATAGCCGCGTCCCAATTGTCACCCATGTCCTCCTATATGTTCTCGTATGGCGGGGTGATATCTGGCGGCTGGTTATTGAGACCAGACGTCACCATGCACCCTAACCATGAAAAGCTCCTTGGAACCACTACAATGATGTGGCGGCTACCGCAGAAGAGGCAACTTGGAGCGCTGCTCTAGAAAAGGCGGGCATGGCGATGGCGTGTTGACCGTTATATAGCCACCGTGCATGCACGCACGAGCACAATCCTCACGAATTAACTAACGCATTCTCTTGATCAGTGTCAATTGACGTTGGAAACCAACAGCTAACTACTCACAAGCTCGCAATCTGCTTTTGCTTCTTTACCCTATCACCTCCCACGGGAGTGCTGCGTCCACCAGAGGAACTAAATTAACCGCCTCGAGCGTTTTGTCTAAAGCTAAAGCGCAAGATGACACATCCTCCACAGGTTTAAGCACCAAGGGGAGAGGAGCATATGCGGTTGGCCGTTAGATGATACCCTGCATACCATGACCAACACATATGATATCACGCACTAACCATTATTTGTAGTAGTATATATGGGTGTTAACTAAAGTTGAAACAAAAGGAAGCTTACAGTCGTGTATATATCGCAAGTACAAATCTGAACAGAAATAAGTTAAATGGAACCGGAGAACCAGTGGAAGTTGTGATTTGTGCATGGCCAGTAGATTCTTGGAGAAAAAGAGAGGGAAAGATCAGACATATTTGCAGCCAGTGATGAGTGGGTTACACAAGGGCAGTTGCTGCCTGGATTCCATCAACACAGGGGTGCTGCTCCCTCCATTTAACCATCACCTTACGAAGTTAGCGGTTTAGAGGGTACAATTATTTAGCAATATAAATAGTCAGGCAGGGACATGCGTGATATACAATTATATGCCCAATGGGAAGGCTATAAGACAACGCATTATTGCCTCCTAATCAGCATACGAAGTGTTGCAGGTTTAGTGGGAGCTCCATACAGTTTTTGTGCATACTTGTTTTTTGGGACAAAAGAAATCAGCATGACTTTTGCAGTAAGCAAAGAATACAATGGAGGCCGGCCGGGCCGGTATACAGGTCAGTGTATCCCGTGATATAGAAATGAGCTAGCTGTTGCAAACTTTTTGGAGCCGTTTGGCTTGAAGCTTTCTCCCTCTTTTGTTTTACTTCACATGTAAGATATGCTCGGATCTTGCCTGCCCACTTTGCAAC